CTCAACAACCATGTTCGCTAACTTAGCAGCTGCAGTGATTCACTTAACAACTGCAGCGAGCAAGGTCATGAAATGGAGCAAAATTCACTCCACAAATTGTCTCACATAGCGACAGAAATGTTGGGGGCCCAAGTGGCTGTACGTCGAAGTTGCTGTCACGGGAGAATCAAAGTTTGTCAGTTTTCCTGTTGAGTCCTACAATGGCTGCGTTGGTTGGTAAATATCTATCCAGTCGTGCAATCCAATCCAATAGCAGAGTTGGAAGGGACCTTGGAGGTCTTCTAGTCCAGCCCCCTGCCTAGGCAGGAAACCCTATATACCGTTTCAGACAAATGGCTATCCAACATATTCTTAAAGACTTCCAGTGTTGGGGCAAACCCTGCTCTCTTCCTACTCCTCCTTTCTAGTCCTGATGAGGTTCCCTAGCTGGGTCATGAAACGTCTGCAAGAAAATAGAAACGGCTGTAGGGGAAGGCAGGGGGTGAGTGAGTAAGTACAACAGAGAATAAATCTGAGCCTGATCGTTTCCCGTTCTCAGTGCAATCGTTGACACTAGTTTAAAGCATCATTTTGCAAAACTACCCCAAAGTATTTCCCCCGCCCCAATTCTGTTTGTTTTGCCTTCAGAATTCTTATGCAAACATTATTATTTTCCTTTTTCTACCAAAAAAAAAAGAAAAAAAAAGCCATCATAAACATTGCCGAAATGGACTGGAACAAATTGTAAGTGCAGGAAGACTGGCAAATTGAGAAGAACACAACCGGTTCCAGATGGAAGATGCCGAGTGCGGCCGATTAAAAGGCACTCTGAAACAATTACACATTTCTCTTCGTGGATTCGGGGCGGGAAAGAAAAATGGGAAGAGACAGGACGCTTTTCCAGATGGGAATCGGCTCTCCCGGGACCTAAGAGGTCATCTAATCCAACCCCCTTGCAAGCTGCAGGATCCGGGACCCCAGAATGAGGCAGACGGTTGCTGTTATTGGTAGTTTTCGACCTACGACCTCACACTTAGCGGCCATTCAAAGTCATGACGGACCTACTTGTAGCAGGGATGGGTTCCTGCCAGTTCTAACCTCTTCTCTAGAACTTCCACCGTGCCGTTTAGAACCGGTTCCAGTTCCCTCCCTCTGCCCGTCTGCACATCACCAAGATGAAGAGCGAGAGGAGGAATTCTGGGAGTTGAAGTCCACAAGTCTTAAAGCTGTCAAGTTTGAACACACCTGGGTTTTTTTTTCCTAAAGGGTTAGGGACGCAAGGGTCTTGTAACTTGACAGCTTTAAGACTTGCNAGAAAGAAAGAAAGAAAGAAAGAAAGAAAGAAAGAAAGAAAGAAAGAAAGAAAGAAAGAACCCACAGCTTTGGCCACCAATAAGAGACCCAGATGGGACAGTCTGTCTTGCCCCATGAGTTCTGCCACCTCCCTAAGACCTGGAGAAGTTGTCCTCAGAAGCCTGCTGGGGCCAGGACACAGGGGCCTTCCTGCCCCCAATGTCAGATCTTCCCCTATGAAGATTCCACCAAACCCAGACAGGACTTGCCTGCCTAAATCAAAGATTTATCTCCAAAGATGAAGGTAGGACCAAGGAGTCGCCATGTCTGAGATTCACAGGTAATCTTATGCCTGCAAAACTGAGATGCGTCTCCCAATCCTACAAGTGCAGAAGTCGCCAACATGGAGAGATGGACCTCAGGCAGCAAGGAAGGGGCCCGGGAAACGAAGGCGTAAGCCAGCTGCCATCCTATGCCCCTCCAGATTGACGTCCACATGTTGTTTCTCAAAGCAGAAACATCTGGAATCCCTGGCAAGGACCGGCATGGCACTGCCCGTCTCTTGCTGCTCCAAAGATCACATCTGGAGGAGCCATCAGGGCTTCTCCTTCCAACCACCAGGAGATGCCAGGCCTGAGAAATGGGTGGACCTCAGTCCCCCCCAACTAAATTATGATTCAACCAGAAAGGTCAATAAATTAAACCCAGCTAATACGATTAAGGGAAAGACTCCCTTGTGAAGGCCAGTAGGACTTTCACAAACACGTCTCTGTCATTTTCTTGGCCGGGATGGCCAACGTGGTTTGACATGGCCTCCTTCCAGGATCCGAGATTTCGACTCAAAATTTCCAGGTGACACAGACTGGAATTCTCCTCCTCCCAGCACACACCAACCAAGGGCCCCTTTCAAGTTGGACGAATATGTCAGTTGGAGAACCTTGAGGAGAAGTCAAGGAGGAACCAGGAGGAACCGGAGAAAATTGGGATAATAATAATATTAATAATAGTTCAGGAAAAGAAGGTCCTTTTTACGTTGGAGGTTTTCTGTTGAGCCAAAGAGGGATGGACAATGAAGAAGAGCTCTAGATGATGGCCTCTCAACCCTGGTCACTTGAAGACTTTTGACCTC